TATGGAGTGCTGAATAGGAAAGCACCAAGAAAGTAAACAAATGCATGCTGTGATTGCACTTGAAGAAACTTGAGAATAAAACCAACCTTTGAGTTTAAACTTTTCATACGATATAGAAGTAATTTATCTTTTGGCTAAAGAAAAGCAGATGTTGGAAGGGAAAGGCACATGAGAAGACATAGAAACTGTTGTGAAGGCTGTATTTTTTATTTGAACAGTCTCTCTTTACTTTTTCTTACTTGTCCAGGATATTTTGTGTAGTCTTAACAGAACAGAGCCATTAAAAATTCTATAAAGGTATATTTTTCAGGGAAAAGTCAAGTAGAATAGAAGCTGTGAGAAGAGGATGGTAGAAACAAAAGGCAGCATCAACAGCAAAAAAATCCAAACCAAAACCAAGCCAAAACAAAACAGAAGCCAAAGAACTCTTCACAATGTAACCCTTCAAAAAATCCCTCACAATTTCTACATAGTTTGACATGTTTCTGTGGTGAGAATCTGTTCCTGGTGTGAATTCCAAAAGATAAGGATATTTAAAATGTTGACCTATTTCTTTCAAACACTGTGCCACTGAAGACAAATTACTGTCAGACTGTTGATAGCTGGGTATGCAAAGCTTGCATGCCTTCAGTAAGAGAAAACCATTTTGCTGAAAATTTATTTTTGTTATGTTCAGCAGAACAATTCCACCTGCTCCATACTGAAAGATTTCATTTCTTGTAGATCTCTGACTGTGTCTGAAATCAGAGGAACTTGTACTCTTCATTTGTAATTGATTTGGGCTATAAGCTTATACACTTTAGGAAGCATAATTCTTTAGGTACCCTGCTGTCTCTAGGTACCCTGCTGTCTCTGAATTCAGTGGGAGTTTGTCACTGAAGCTGCCTGTCCTTTCAAGAAAATAGCAATTTTAATCAATACGTACTACATCTGTAATGAATCCTGACTCCTCTGAAGTCAGTAGTAGCTGTTGCTGGAGCCTGGATCACTTGTAGTAACAATTGATAATGGCGCTTATAATCTACATCGTTACATATATGTAGATATATTTATGTTAAATATATATATGAATAAACACAAAGTATGCTTATAATCAACTGCTATTAAAATATGCTTTCAAAAACAATAAGCATAGCATTGTTTTATTGTATGTCCTGTTAGAACTAGAATGGTGGGATGATAGTAACAGAGTTGATGTTAAAACAAATGATCTTTAAACTTCATCCTGTTAAAGACTGAAGATTTTCAGAGAAAATTAAAAGAGCGACAGAAAAATTGTTGCCTAAAGAGAAAAAATTTTAAGAAATCTGTGCCTTCTTTATAAGAAATAATGCCAGTGCTCATGTAGTTTCAATTGACACGTGATTTATGGCTGGGAAAAAAAGTCTGTATAGCTCTTTCAAAACATAAAGTGAGGGAGTGGCATCCTTTGAGCAAAAACTCTGGTGCCCTATCTGCTTAAGTGTTTCCTAAGTTTCAGCACTATGAGAATATGAGAATACTCCATTGTTAGGGGATTTTGGAGGCATGCCTGGATCAAGGAAGTACTTCCTCGTCATGCTGTTTCCTTTCCCAAACAATATAAAAAATGGCCTTTTCAACCAAACATCTAGAGGTGGTCACTTTGTACATTGTCCAACTAGAGCTCAACCATCATAAGATAAACCATTCACTCGTATGAATGGCTCCGTGTTATTACTGCTACTTCCTTTTTATTTTCATGGTGATTTTGTTTTGATTTATGTATATGCATAGAAGTTGAACCCCCTGTATAATGATTGTGTCATAAGACTAGCCAAGAAAAAACAAGAAACTCCACCTTACTCGCTGCCCTCTATAGCCTGCATACATTAGCTCTGACACCCTCACTACCACCACTCGTCTTTTGACATGCTCCTCTAATGTGGACTCTGTACAACCTGATTAGACAGAGTAAAAATATACCATGCAAATAATGGATTATAGTGTAATTTTATCCCACTGCTTTAAGTATTCTAACTTTACTTCCAAACAGCATTTCAGAGGAAGCAAAAGTAAGTTCACGTACATGTTCTGTTCTTGGTTTAGCGTTGCATGATCCAAAGGATTTCTAACTAATCTTAAGCACTCAAAATGTGTGCATTATAGTATTAGGTGAATATCCATGTTTTAGTCCAGCATTGCTGCTAGCACATTGTAACAACCATGGAAAAATACTTAGTGCCTGAATTCTGTGGAAAGAGCCTTTGTAAATGTATTATAAATCTTTTAAATTACCATGTAACATTTTTAACTGGTTTGTAACAGATACTCACTGGTACTCACGTTTGTTTTCTGTTTTGTATCTTGAGTTGCATATATAAAATTACTTGGGCACAGCTATTGTTTTATGACATCAAGAAAATGCTGAGACTATGCATTGTGTATGTTTTGAAGAATGTCATTATGATTATTCTGTATTCTAGAGAGGAATAATTTGGAAAAAGACTTGGAAAGTCTCTTCAAAAACTTTGGAAAGTTCTTGATGTATGTGGACTTGTCCACTGTATAAATTACAAAATTAGGTCTATTTACCTTTGTCACTGAATTTACACTTTGAGAAATGCGTTTACTGGGACTACTTTTGATTCACAAAGATGTAAAAAAGTCACAGCCTCAACAAAAATCAGCTTAAAGGTGATTTTGTTTTAAAAGGGAATAAATTCATATTTTCTACCAACATGATATATTTGGAATAGCTCAGTGGCTTTCAGAGAAATCTGCCTGATTTGCTCTGGCTTACTCAGAGGTAAAAGGACAGGACTGGATTCACAATTTCTTACTGTTTCCTCGTGACCACTTAATTCAATTTGCAAATATTTGCTCTGTAAACAGTACAAATATATGCTATATTCATATTTATAGACATATGAAGTTATTTAAAAAGAAATACTGTGGCTTTTGACTCATTTTCCTTGCTGGAACAAAACCCCAATGATCTTGCAACTCCTTTTCAAGACGTTCTTCTGCCCGTAGTTTCACTAATTCTACTGAAAACAATGCCAGTTTTCTAAAACTAATGTAGGTCTCATCCCTCTGTGGCATGGGTTATGTTTTAATTTTGCTAATTCATTTTCTACACAAATGCTTTCTGTTGTTTGTTTAGTGTCCTTTTAGTGGTCTTTGGCAGTAACATGGACTGCTGAGTTTATTCTGTCTCGCACCCTCTTTCCTGCTAACTTTCTGTTTGAGGTAACAGTTTGCTGACTGAAGTATAATGGGAATAATCTAAGTTAATGGTAGAGGGCTTTAAACATTTCCTCAACAAATAAGCAGCAGCGTGTTGATAGCCAATAAGTATTTTATAAGTGCAATTAAATCACAGTGATTGATTGGGCTGGGGTGAAAATCAGAATCATTTAGAACAACAAATTCTTTACAGGGAAACCCTCACCAAATTAAGAAAACACACAAACGAACAACAAAAATAAACCATTTAAGAAGTTCTGCTCCTATACCACGTTTTCCTCATTTCTCAACTCTGTTAACAAGGAACAACTTGATGAAAGTGAGACCTTTTGTTTCTTGAGAATGCATCTTTTCTGTTGTTAATTTATGTTATGTTGAGTGAAGATGTATATTGGTTAACTGATCTAAAAGTTTACTTGCTGAAAGGGGGGACCTGCTTCCTCTTCCTTTGATCTCACTTTTCTCTCCCCGTGCCTGGCTCCAGGTTACAAGGTCTTGCACTTTTGTAGTGCTTGTTGGATTCCTCAGTGAGCTCATTCTCAATTCACTAGATTGCTGGAAAATTATTTTCTTTTTCTGCCAGGTTAGTTTTGTGCTGGTTCAGCAAAGCGAATCAACTCAACATAGAATCAGATGACTACTACTGCCATTGCAAGGGAAAAAGCATGCAGGATGCAGCCAAGGCTGCAGCCTCCTGACTGGAGAGGAGGAAAGTTGAAAACAGAAAGGTCTTGTATTTATGAAAATATCTAAAATAAAACATGCAATTTCATGTATAGCTTAGCATAGTGGTGCGTGCTCCACAAAAGCACTAGGGTGCTGTGTTTGTGAAAACACGTTCTTTCTGGGTTATATCATTGCAGTATCCATGTTGGTTATTTCATTCTGTGTGACCAGTAGGTATAGTTTTATTTTTTTGCTTTTTTGACTTCCAAACTGTTAATTATTTATAGATCAGTAACAGTTGTGTTTGGTTTTTTAATGTAGGAACATACAAATATTCTCAATGGCTCTGTCCTCTTGGGTATTCATTACTTTTGGATGCACTCTACTAACACGAAGATATGACTTAAGACAAATAGGATTTAAACAACAATTATTGGAAATTCTATAGTCTGGCCGATTCCTACTAAAAAAATGTTTTTAAGAAGAACTGGTACACATTCTGGATTTTTAAAAAGAGTGTTAAGATTATATTATCTTATATTGTCTTAAGAAAATCTGGATGTAGACAGGATAGGGAAAGCTCCATAGAGCAAAACCAGAGGAGATACACCAATAACTTTATTTCTAGTCCAAATGCAATGTCAAATAGCAAAAAGGCTTTGATTCAACTACTTTTGATTACTATTAACATGTGAAATTAAATTTTGAAGAACAGCAAAAGGCAGAGAAAAGGTAGGATTGACTTTATATGCATGGCATAAAGGTCAGTCACATGCAGTAATCTTAGTTTGACTCCTAAGAGGCTGTAAACTTTAGCAATTGCTTAAATAGCTTGGTTTTCATTTGTAGATATTTTGCCCTCAAAAAGTTCTTCGTTTAAAGTGATAGTCTAAGTCATTCTAAAAATAATGTTAACTGGAGTAAATGTATTCTGGTGAAAAAACCAAATGACTTCGAACTCACAGGTGTCAACTGAATAATCAGTATGTACTGAAACTCATTTTCCTGCTTTTCATACAAGAGCCATGCAATTTTCAAAGAAATTTTTGTGCATTGAGAATTGTAAATAAAAGCATTGAGAAAAACATTTAACCAGAAATAAAAATACCACTCAAAATAACTTTTTTGTCATACACTTTTATTTACCTTGAACAGAAAATTTTGCAAACCATCAATTACTGAGAATGGGGAAAAAAACCCTAGCATATAACAGGAGGCTTTGGTTATAAGTGCCATTTCTACAGCAGAGTTAAGCTATTGTATACCAAACACCTTGTAGTAAGGTAAAAATCTCCAGCCAAATTTTTTAAGAATTTAACAGCAACACTGAAAACATTTACATATAAACAACAGAGAAATATTTTCTAAACTTTTAACAGTCACTTTGCTACAATCCAGAAGTGTTTAGTTCACATATCTATACATACAGACAAGCACTAAAACTTTTGTGAACTAACCACTTGTCCGCAGGACCTGCCTAGACAGTTTGTCGTCAATACGAAAGTTTTTTTTATATAAATAAGTCCATTAAATTTCACAGAGACTAAAAGAAACAATATAAAATTCCAACTGTAAATAAATCTGTACATTATGGTCAGTCTTGTTTTTCTGAAATCTTGCGCAACTTTAAAGTGTCTATTTATAAAATGATGGCAAGGAGCAGCGTTAGCTGGAATGGAAACTTGAAGACTCGGACTCTGTAGAAACAGAAGAATGTCCCCCACGTTTGCTTTTTGAAAGAATCTTGAGGCTTGATCCTCTGCTAACTGACGTCAAGGCATTTTGTGCCGATGTTTTGAATTTGGCACCCAGGAAGGCATACAGAATTGGATTCAGGCAACAGTGGAAGAATGCCAGGGCTTCGGTAATGGAGATCCATTTATGCACTATCGTCTCCAAGCTGCAACGATGTCTGATGACTCCTAGCAAGATGAATGTGTCGATGCTGATGCCGATATAATATGGCAGCCAGCAGGCAAAGAAGGCGAGGATGAGGATAACCGTTGTCTTCAAGGCTTTGCGCTTCTGGTGGCCTTTTGAATGTGACAGCTTAGATATTATAATACAGTAGCAAGTCAGGATTATTAGACCAGGCAAGACAAGTCCTACCAAGATATGCTGAAATCTGAAAGAAATCAGCCAGTTTTCATGAGGGTACATGCGATCACATAGATACTTCCCTTCTACTTCACTAGTACTGGCAAAAATTATATCGGGCACTGTCAGAAGCACAGCTGGTAGCCATACGCCTACATACACCACCTTCTCAGCCAACAGCTTTCGTGGTCGCTGGCTGTTGGTAGCGTGGACTATTGCCAGGTAACGATCTAAACTTATAAAGGCCAAAATCAAGACACTGCTATAGAGGTTGACTGTGTAAATGACATGAACTGCCTTACACAGAACATTCCCAAAGTACCAGCTTATGGCGGCATCCACAGACCAGAATGGCAAGGTGATGACGAAAAGGAGGTCAGCCACAGAGAGGTGCAGCCTGTATTTATCAGTCATGCTTCTTTGTTTCTTCTGGTAGCCCATAACAACAATAACCAATCCATTGCCGATTATTCCTGTTAGGAAGATGATGGAATAGATCGTTGGCAAGAAGATCCGGTTGAAATCGGCATTCTCATGCTGAAAGCATGGCTCTCCGTAGTCTCCATAGTCACCTGAACCAATCTCATCCGTGCCATTATCAGAAAATTCAATGATTAACCCAGAGGACAGCTAAAAATAAATAAATAAAAAAAAAATTAGATGTTAGCTCCTCTGCAAAAGCTTACTCCATATGACAGTATGTTAAGAGTTGTCTGAACAGTTTCCATCATAGGCAAACTTTTTGAAAAACAGATGGAAAAATACAATTTTTGAATATATATATATATATAAAATATACAGCAGATAAAAAATATATATATATAAAAAAAATATACAGCAGATAAGAACAAGTTAAAAAACTGCCTTTGTCTTTCTCTAAGGAGTAAGATCTTGTAACTAAAGTCAGGGGATGAAAGGGAAAAGAAAGATAATGGCTACTCCCAGAAATATCGTTGGTGGACACTTCAGTGCTCTAATCAGATGCAATCTGCAAACTGAAGAGCCCAGAAGTGCTGGATGCACGAGGTTAGTCTGCACAGAGTATTACCTACCCATGACATGTAACTCTTACAACAGGGCGCTATAAAAAAAAGTTTCTTAAACAGAAATGCTGCTGCTCCAAAGTACCCTTCTCATTAAGGGGATGGGGTCAAGGAGAAATAGAGAAGGTACCCTTGGCTGATGTAATAAAGGATAAATAATAGCAAGAATTCCCTGCTGAGAAGCAATTGACAGCTCCACAGACGGAGACAAGGAAAAAAAAAAAAAACAAAACCAAAGTCCATAAAGAAAAGAAAGGAAGAAGTGACCTTAAGCAGGGGAACTCAAACCCCACGGAGGGTCATCACGAACAGCCACGTTCCCCTCCCTTTGTTCCCCACCCCTTGCGGTTGCGGGGCAGGGGGTGAAGCTGGCTGTGCTGGGCTGTAGCCAGACTGCTGAACTAAGTACAGCAGTGGAAAAAGGAAGCGAAATGCTGGTGAGGGCATGAAAGCACGTCAGGAAACCACCAACGGTTTTGGCCACCACGCCGAAAAGCAGTGCAGGCGGGCGAGTGCCACCTGGCTATGTGCAATTCCTCAGGTTTTCAGATGTTAGTTTTCATGCCCTGTGTACCGTGAACCCCTGACCTCCGCGCAGGGCGCGCCCCGAGGATCCCGCGGCACTTCCCCGCACGGATGCACCACCTCCACGCGGCTATTAACTGCGGATACAAGTCGGAACTTGCCAGAGGTCTACGGTTTGGTCCTAACTACTCTCAAAAACCCCGTGGCAGGAGAGCGGGCTCCGGAAGACGGGGCCGCCGCCGCGTTTCGGCCC